CCCCCACACACACACGACAAACACCGAAAAATATGTACGTACGTACCCTCCAAAGTGATGTATATCTTTGTGAATACACCTCCCAAGGTGAAAGCCAAGGCCGGTCCAAAAATAGACAAACCCACCATCGTACCTGCAAGAAATATCCATGAAGGCATTTTCAGATTTAGAGGGAACCACATGGAAGAGCGGGTGGAATCTGTTTTTCTTATCTCTTTATTTATTTTTTAAACTAAATTTTGTAAATTTTCAACAAATTATTTTATTTATCGGGGAGTGGGGGGAGGGAGGGTTTTGTGTGTGTATGTGTTTGTATGTGTGTGTGTGGGAGGGGGGGTGCTGTGGTATCTTAAGAAATTCTGGGTCAACAGTAAATCAAAAATTGACAGCTTCACTGACCATTATTACTATCAATAATACTAATATTATAAAAGTCAGGAGATTCTCACCTAGGTATAGAGTTGACTTTGTCTTGGGCACGTTGTCGTCCACATACGTTCCCAGGAAAGACTGCCGGGGAGACTTGGCTATGCCCTGTGGTAACACAGGAAGACATAAACACATTACATAATACGTCCTACACTTTTTTCGTCATTCAACGTTTGGAAGTGTGTGGTCATAGTGAGTGCTCTGGTGTGGTTTGATCTTCTGTTCAATCAATAACAATATAAGAGTGTTTGTTTATGTGTCTGTCTCAATAAATATGTGTGTATGTGTGTATGTGTGTGTATGAGGGGGGTGGGGGTGGGGAGGTAGGTAAGTAGGTAGGCAGGAGTGTTGGTGTGTGGGGGGGGGGGCGTGGGTAGGTAGGCAGGAGTGTTGATGTTTTTGTGTGTGCGTGTTTGTCTCTAAGCAGCCCATCCCTTCCCATCCCCACCACCTGTCCTTACCTGTATCATCATCCCTATAGCAATGATGACCACTGCCGCCGTCCGCCAACCCTCTGACACCTCAAAGGTATCCACGCGCTTCGCCAGTTCCTCGCAGGTGGCATTCTGGGACATGGCACCAAGCGATGAGCTGTTTCCCGCCAAACACATCTGGGACGGGCTTCGCGGAGGGGCTGTGGCGTGAGAATTAGAGGAGAGATGTTCAGGGGGGGGGGAGATTTATTATTTTTTTAAATATATATATATATATATATATATATATATATATATATATATATATATATATATATTTATATATATGGACATAAAATGTGTTGAGCTAAAGAACAAATATTCGATAAAATTTACCAAACCGGCGGAAAGATGCCTATACCTTCGATTTCATTATTCTGACGAACTCCTGAATTCGCGACGATGCCTCATTATCATTCTAAAGAGTGCATTGTCATGGCCGCGACTCTTTACTCTTTCTAAAGATTTCACTGAGCTGATGTGGGCGCCCAATGGAAAGGCAACACTCCAGTCACGGCATAGTCAAGTGAGGGCACAGCCTACACTGTCTTGCTTTTCATTTGGTTCCAGACCGAGTCAAATGGTACGCTCTACGTTGTATCAGAAATACGTAATTCTAAATAGAGTCAATTAATACGCCCCACAATAAACCAATAATACGTCAAAGTGCACAATCTAGTTTATTTTAATACTTAATATGTGGTATACGAGCCTACTCACCCTGGGAAGTAGCACCGTTTTCTGCTTGAGGCGGCGTAGGAATCTGGTCCCTGGAGCCGAAGAACGCAATAGTGCAAAAGAGACCGGACACCCCGTAGACGATGGTAGATAGTGCGAGGGCTCGCGGAATGTGCAGACGTCTGGCGTAGTAAGACATGAAGAGTGTGGTGATTAAGTAGCCCAGATCGTTACAGGACATCAGGAAACCGGACACCGAACTGCTGAAGTTGAAGTGTTTCTCCAAGGTCGTGATCTGTTGGTGGAAGACTAATATTGTAGTATTCATATATAACGAGCACAGGGGAAACATGAACGTATAATATGGTGCTGCTTAATGCCCCGATCAACACTATTAGTTTATTTAATTAAGAAGTGGGACCTCCGGTAGGACCGAGCCAAACGAGATGACAGTTTAGAAAACTCTACAAAACAACATGGGTTCAAGACCGCCGATTCTAGAATTTGAATCAGGGCGATCTGCTCTGTAATCCAGCTTGATACCAACGGAGGTTGCGGAGCTCCCAAACACAGGGGAAAATAGGCATAGTTACAAACTGGAAACTGTGATGGTATTAATTTTGAGAGCTTGTGAACTTATTATTACATTTCTATTCAACTGTTGGTTTATTTTATTATTGTTTTACATTTCTGGAAGGCAACCAGAAATCAACTGCTTAGTGTTAGACTCTGAAACACGTCCCTTTACAAAATGACGTATCATAGCCCTATGCTAAGCAGTTACAATGAAGTTATTAGTCTCCAAGCTTTTAAAATTGATACCCTCAAAGAAATCCACAACACCCCACCAAGTCAGGTAATTCAGCTTGCCAGAGACCGAAAGCTATTCCTCCCCTCGACGCCCTAGATGGTACAAGAGGAAGTATAAAGTAAAGTAAGTAGATCTACCCTCAAAGTTTTCAGTTTGTGACTGTGCCTGTTTCCCCCTCTGACTGTGCACCTCAGAAGTTTTACACCGTCACTGGCACAATTTTATGTTTACATCATTAACTTTTATTCCGTAGCCCGCTGCTTCGTCCCTGCCTGTCAGAATCGATGGGTAACCCGGGCTGAGAAGGATACAACGTCCTTGCACTTAATTTATATTAATGCTAGCCAATGAGCATTCTCACTTTAACTAACTGTATTTAAAAGCAGGGTAATTTCATTTGAACAAGTGAATACAAAGTCCCTTTTGGACCAGCTGTGTTAACCGATTTATTACTTTAGTTTTGGAATATATTTTTTTGCATTTTCTTTTCCTTTCAACAAATGCAGTCTTTTAAAATAGATGCAATTTGCGAATCTTACGTATAAGACTTGTTATGTATTAGTTGCACCCTATTCTCCGCAAGTGAAGTGGAAGAAGGACTTCAAGCAGGAAATAGATTTTATATCATTTTGCAGCTGAACAAGGGTAGCCTTTGGGGGTAATAAATAGTGGGCGTGCACAATTAATCTATCACAGGTTGAACATAGTCAAGGACATAGATCTAGTGAATACGTTCTATAACTTTGATATCTTTGGGATTGTGATGACCTATTTTTTCACTTTCATTCTCTTTTGTCACTTTGATTTCGTAAATTTAATCTATTTGTTAGCTAAAAGTCAATCTTCTTGCTTTGGAAGTGAACACTCAGGTAATAATACCTTTACCACTACAAACCATTCTAAAGCTCTACTAACGCTGATCTGCTTAAGTCACGTTGGCCTCGCTTAAGCTCATGGTCACATAGGCAGAGCAAGACCTAAAGTGATGACAAGACAATGAACCAAATTGCAATTCGTTTGAGTACTTTTCGCTATAATACTATTATTGCTGCGTAGCCCATAATACGTGAACATGGAATTGTGTAGGCTATTGTGAACAGTCTGTGACTTGGGTTTATTTTTAAGATTGCCTAAGTAAGAGCGAAGCTTCGGCGTGCGCACATTTTTTAGATTTATCGTCTTATTAATAATATTAATGTACCGGAAAAACTCACAACAAGCGTCATTGATTGGCTTAAGCCAAAGAGCGGATTTTTTGTGGGTTTTTTTTAGAGGGGGGGGGGGCAGATTACCATTGCTAAGATCTTGATATACTACGATAAACCACGATCAATGGCCTTGGTATGGCATGGTAAGTAGTTTACGGTGCTATAGCTAGACACAGTAATGACCATAGAGGCGCCAGTGAGGACCTTGCACTGATAAATTTATTTTGAATAGCGCTTTTTGCTGGCATGTTTTATTTTGTGTTTGTGGATGTTTTACGCAATAAAGTACGTATTTTTCTACTGCTACTCCGTGGCTACTGCTACTGCTGTCTTTCTGCCACACCCCTGATCTTCTGGTAGGAAAGATCTACACCTAGCCTTCTCGGACAAGGGCGAAAAATCTCGGAGGGCCCGTGTGCAAGTTGCGCACGTTAAAGATCCCTTGATGGTCTAAAATCGATAAGAGTAGGCTTCCGCCGCCACCCGGGCAAAATTCAAAATTTCCTACCAACTGAAAACATTAGATGTGTCCCGCGCACTCATATGACCTTATGCAGTTGCGAGCGCCGTAAAACACTTTACAAAAACAAACAAAGTACGTATTAAACTATGGGCGAAACGTGCCTGCGGATGAGGTTACAAATCATTTTGTTTGTTGGTTGTTGTTTTTTCTTATGTATACCTTCGAAGCACTCTTAAAAGCTACAATAGTGTGTAAATACCCCCCTCCCCCCTACTTCTACGCACTTTGTGCATCTTACTAGCCAAGTTTGAAAAAAATCACAGACAGAGCAAAGCATCCTCAAAATCAGGTGTGTTCGGCAGGATTAACATTTTCTCAAATTCATTGAGCAACTTGAATCCGATGTCGCTAATAACTATAATCATCTTTCGCTCAATCTCTGCTTAGCGTAAAAATGTCCCTGTTCAACAGATCCAAAAGGGATCGGGGATTACGTAGACTGGTGTAAAGAAACACGCACCCTTCAAACGCAAGGTTTATGCGCATTGGCACGTGTGCTTGCAACAGACTACACAGACACAGCAAGGCTGGGCCCTACCGAGCAAGACATAAATAGGGAGAATTAACCCGATTATATAGAAGTTCCTAGGGGTAAATGGGGAGGGGAATGCCACTCATTCAGGTCATGTTGAAATAACGCCTTTTTCAGTGGCCTCGTGCACTGACTCTCTTGAGTGGTGGTTGGCGGGTGTTCTGGTGTGGTTTACTCCTTCTTTCCTATCAAACATCTATCGTCTTTATCTCTCCTTCTTCTTTTATATTATTAAATTTGTAACACCTCTGATCTTCTGGCACTCATATGACCCTATGCAGTTGGGAGCGCCGAAAAACCTCCATTAAAACTAAAAACGGACTCTCTTGTTATTAATGAGCCCGCGCTTTCCTGTTATTTCTTTGTCTTGGCATTGTTGCCAGAGTCTGTGCACTTTTGTTGTGTAATTTGTTAGTCGTTTCAATGCATTGTTGTACCGATTAATGTGTTCTGAATTGTATTAGAGTTGGACGTGTTATTATTATTGTTAATATCATTGTCATTGCTACTAATATTACACTATCACTATCACTGTATTTCTATTATCAGGATTATGTTATTGTTTTTCCTCTTCCTCCTCCTCTTCCTCTTCTTCCTCCTCCTCCTCCTCCTC